AGCATCCCTGTAGGTCGGGCACAGAGACCACGGTCCCCTCTGCGCCATCTGGGAGATTGGTGTCTCCCCTTGGTAGGGTAAGCTGCCGCTGGGGAGATAGGGTGCTGTGCTCCTCTCCCTGAAACACAGGCTGCCGCTGGAGAGGGAGACCGCCTGTCTCCACTCCCATAACATTGTCCTGCTGCTGGAGAGAGAGACCAACTGTCTCTGCTCCCTGTAGGACACACTGCTGCTGGGGAGGAAGGACGACACCTTCGGCTCCCTGTAACTTGCACTGCCGCTGGGGAGGAAGGACGACACCTTCGGCTCCCTGTAACTTGCACTGCCGCTGGGGAGAGAGACCAACTGTCTCTGCTCCCTGTAGGACACACTGCCGCTGGGGAGGAAGGACGACACCTTCGGCTCCCTGGAATTCGCACTGCCGCTGGGGAGTTAGGACGACACCTTCGGCTCCCTGTAACTTGCACTGCCGCTGGGGAGGAAGGACAACACCTTCGGCTCCCTGTAACTTGCACTGCCGCTGGGGAGGAAGGACGACACCTTCGGCTCCCTGTAACTTGCACTGCCGCTGGAGACTAGGTGTCCATATCCTCAACCTCCACAGTTGTCGCTCAAAGGCCATTGCCGCACTGTTCTCAGCACTCAACTGGCGCATTACTTGGTGGACCACCTCGTTCGAAAGGTCTGGGCCATAGCAGACCAACCGCCTCTTTACCTCCTCAATGTAAGCGTCGTCCTCGTAGCGACGTATCCTGTTGAGGTGCTCTTCGCAGGGCTCTATCCATCCCTGCTCCATGCTGCTGTAGTTAGGGACGCTGCACAGTGGCTAGCGTTGCCCTCAATAACCTCTCATACGATACCAGTGTCTCCGAGCTGCTTCTCCTCGCACTAGGACGCCATCCCACCGCTGCCACCAATGTAACGGAGCTCCCTGTACTCCGACCGAGTACCCTCCGTTGACGGATGCTCCTAGCACTTCCTGAGGACTCCAATCGCTGCAGCAGACACCACAACCACCGCAGACTCCGCAACCGCCGTATCTTGACTGGAGTCTCGCCGTCTTCCTTCCACCCTGGATCAGCTTCTGTCCTCCAGGACTGTGTGGGAAAGAACTCTTCCTTCCACCCTGTATGAACCTCCAGCATCCAGGACTGTGTGGTGAAGGCCCCTCCTCCAAGGAGAGCATGTGAGGAACAAGCTCTTAAAAGAGCTAAGTGACTCAAGCTCAGGGGAGCATGCAGAGCATAGCAATCCCCAGTGTGATTATAACAGCTCCCTCCAATAACGAGACAAGGCTACGTTTAGAGGGATCAAGAAGAACTGTCAAAACCTTTATTTCCCTTGGGACCAGCCAATACGGTCACCACAATAACATTGTTGTGAAACCTCAATAAAATCACAAACAGTCAAAACACATCAAGCAACACACAGTGACTTATCACAACACAATGGTACATTTTTAAAGGGGTGGGGGGAGACAATATTTAACATTAAATATCTCACCTGCCTGCAGAATTAGCAATATGCAAATCTACCCGAATATGCAAATGAACCAGTCTTGCAATTCAGGTAGTGCATATTGCTGTTGCTACCAACAGAGGGCACTAGACCAGCTCCATAGCCAAACCCACCTAGTTGGTAGCAAACCTCAGCAATACAAGAGAGCAGGCAATACATTACACAGTACACACACACACTATAAACAATTACATTACACACACCCTGCACCTATAATGGGTACAGGGTGACTAAAACATAAGATAAATAAAGCAGCCTACATAAATAGTCTGTCTGAAGGTAGAATAGGGGCTTTAAAGGCAAATACATCAAAGAGTCATAGTCACAGGGGAGGAGGCTGGCAAGCAGGCCTCTCCAGTACCAAGTGGCGAAGGGCACTTCGTCACAGGTGGGTTTAGGAAGCCAATAGTTCCTTCCTTGTAATAAACTAAATTAACAAATTAACGAATACCGACGTTCGGTTTTTATTCGTTTAAAATTTCTATTTATTCATTCGTCTTTATGACGAATTAGTGAATAGCCAGAAGTGTTTAACTAGGCATGCACAGGAATTTCACTGCACTGTCTAGTGCAGACAAATGACGTGTCCCGCAGGGCCTTCATCTGCCCACACAAAGATGGCGGCGCCAAGGACCTAGGTTCGGGCATTAAATAAAGAACTACAGATAGTAAAATCAGGAAACTAAGGGCATTTGGGGGTGAAAAGGGGGACAATAACATGTAGTGGATTTGGATGGGGGTTTTAACAAAAACGGATTCGGTCATGACAGTGCCACTTTAAGTAATTTTATTGATTACAATTTCAGGGACCTGCCTGACAACCCATAGAAATTTTCCAGATGGTTACATTGCCTTTGAGAGCATATGGTAGCCCAGGAATGAGAATTACCCCCATCATGGCATACCATTTGCAAAAATAGACAACTCAAGGTATGTCTCACACTTTTTTCGATTTTATTCATAATGAATTATGTTTCATATATAAATATTCGATGTGAAATGAAAGCTTTATTTCTCCTGAACAAAATGAAATATAACAAGTGTTGGTGCACTTAATATGGAAGAAGTAAACTACGGTTTTGTTTATGTTTTGTTTTGATCAGAACGTGTACAATTGCCTCCGTCCTTAAGGGGTTAAAGCACAAAAAGGGTTCCTACGATAATGTGTTGGAGTAATTCTTTAATAAAACACTAAATATTGAATGGGTTGGTCCGTTAGTTTATTGCAACAAGGTTTGTTTAGGGCTTGTTTGAAAGGTCTGGAAAATAATGTAAATATTACATGTAAAGGTTGTAGTGTATGAGCAAAAGTGTTAGTGATGTAATGGTAAAAAATTACCTTTATTTCTACGTTTTAAAATAATATATAAATTCCCGGTACTAGGATTCTAGAAGCCATGGAGTGTGAGCTCCAAGGCCGTGCATTGGTCAAACATAAAGGAAATATAACAAATAAACAAAGAGTTAAGCAAAATTATCTCTTAGGGAGATATTGCGACAATTAGTAAAGTTCCTCCAATGTTGCAATTGTCTCACTGCTGAATGCTCTTATGCTGATCTGAGTGAAACGTATTGTCTGGTGACAGCATGTAAATCAGAGCACCTAGTTACAGTATCTGGTGAACAACATGTGAATCGGAGCAAAAAAGGGGTGAGAGAGATTCTGTGAGTTAGGAGGGAGGGATCTAGTACTGATTATAGTTGAATCAATTCCAGACAAGCAGGGAGCGTGCAAGAGCTGGTTGGTCCCTAGAATAGTCTAATATATTGCCAAACTATATGTCCCAACATATTTGGCTGCGGCACTTGTTCCCTCCATGTTTCAAGACCCAGTTTCCGGAAAAAAAAAGCAGAAATTCTAATTGTCAGTGGTATATCTAAAGACATTCTAGGGTAATCAAATGAAGTAATAATCCCCTAATGGACCTGAGGCTAAAAAGTTATCTGTTATTATAGTAGAGTCTAAATGAAAAAGCCTTCTGGAGCAAAAAGCCACGTCAGTCTGCACTCGCTTTTTCACTTAGACTAACCCCTCGGACCCCGCTTAAACGAGCTGACAGTATAGAGGAGGTGGGATAAAACACAGTAGGGCTGGAGACAGCAATCAAGCAAGGTGGGAGTGAGGCAGGAGAAGAGAGTAGAGTGCCGCCCTTTAGGAGAGAGACCGAGGGACAGGAATGTGAGGTAGAGGTTACTCCTGGAGGCTAGAAGCTTTCCTAAAGAGATGGGTTTAAGGCACTTCTTAAAAGATGCAAGACTAGGGGAGAGTCTGATGGCGGTAGGCAGGCTATTCCAAAGGAAGGGAGCCACCCGCGAGAAGTCCTGTAAGCATGAGTTGGCCGTACGGGTGTAAGCAGCGGACAGGAGAAGGTCATGGACAGAGTGGAGAGACCGAGAACGGTCATACTTATGGATCAGTGAAGAGATATAGGAGGGGTTAGAATTGCTCAGTGCTTTATAGGTATGGGTATTAGTACCTTGAATTGACTCCTATAGGATACAGAAAGCCAATGTAAAAACTGACTAGAGGGGTGAGATGTGAGAGGACCAACCAGAGAGGAAAATCAGTCTGGCGGCAGCATTAATTACAGACTGTAGCGGGCAATGTGGCTTCTGGAAAAACCAATAGAAAAAGCTTTACAATAATCCATGTGAGAGATTACAAGAGCATGGACAAGTTCCTTAGTAGTATCTTGCATAAGATAGAGGCGGATGCAAGCTATGTTTTTAAGGTGAATCTGCAGGATTTGGTGACAGACTGGATGTAATGCTCAAAGGTGAGGCCAGAATCAAGTATGACGCCAAGACAGCGCGCTTGCAAGGATGGACTGATGTGGGTAGCACTAACTTGAAGGGAGAGTGAAAGAAGAGGATCAGTATTATGAGGAGGAAAGACAAGGAGCTCAGTTTTAGAGAGATTGAATTTCAGAAAGCGGGAGGACATCCAGTCAGAGATGGAAGAAAGGCAATTAGTGACATGTTGTAGGAGAGCAGGGGAGAGGTCCGGGGAGGAGAGATAAATATAAGATATTTATACTGCTGATCTAGTAACAGCCAGGCCTTATCCTCCCATTCCATATTCCATGGATGAGAACATGTGATCTGATCTTCACAAGTCCTGCAGGCCGGCATGCCTTTGACTGAGGATTTATGACATTCTTGAAGAGTTAGGTGTTTAGTTCTGTCAAGACTGACCTAACCCTAAATCACAAACCTAGGTAGAGACAGGACAGAAGTGCGAACCAGACCTTAGAGTGGCCTGGCTAGGACAGATAAAAATAACAGACAGTCTGCAAGCTGACAAAGAGTAAACGCAAACAGGCTGAGGTCAAGATAACATAGATACAGTATGGAAAGGCAAGCCATGATCAGAAAAACAGAGAACAAGAATAGTCAACAAGCCAAGGTCAATAAACAGGAATGTAGAGTGTAGAATAAACCACCTCCCATAATTACCATATCCTGAACAATACTATAATTAGCACGGTGACATCTGACTATATAATAGTGATACTGAGAATATCATTATACTGAACGCTGGCTGGGGATACACTGTATCAGACACCAGTGGAACTGATTGAGTAAGACAATCTCTCTCCCACATTACTATGAAGCGGTTTGTAATATTAATGGTGGCGATCAGCGCAATCACGGTATTTATAGCGGATGCAGAAAAAAACTAAGTGTACAGATGTTGCTGTAATTGTGGCTGCTGCAAATGTCGCAGTGATGTACAGAAGGTAAGTGACGTCACTGGAATTAATGTATCTCCTGCCTTCTTCACTCATTAGAAAAGGTTTTTATAAAATGACTTTACAGCAGGTTTATCAACATTTTCATTTATAATCACACTATGTTTATAATATCATATCATATCATACAGCAGTGCCCCCAATGTATAATCATTTTATTCCTATGCAGCCTGGTCCTCCCCCATAAACACACCTTATAAACACTGGACGTGCCCCTCATTTGCCCAATGGCCAGATCAGACATGGGCTAATGTACTAATATGTGCAAAATACGAGGAGTTTCCAAGTTAAAACCCTCCCATTTAAAGTAGTTTGAATAGGTTAAAATTGACAGTATATAAAATCTATTCTAGATTATTGGAGTAGCAGGGGTTATTTCTCTCAACTCAATAAAACGTATATCATTATTACATCCCATTGTATTATTCCATCACATGATGTTATTACAGCTGGTATTATTAGAGATTATTGTATTATTACAGAGTATTCTATTATTACAGCTTATTGTATTAGTACAGCTTATTATTTGTTTTTTTTACAGATTATTATATTATTACATCTCTTTGTATCAATATAGCTTATTGTATTAATAACGATTATTATATTAATACAGTTTATTGTATTAATACACCTTATTGTATTAATACAGCTTGTTATTTATTACAGCTTATTATTATTATTGCCATTTATATAGCGCCAACAGATTCCGTAGCGCTTTACAATATTATGAGAAGGGGGTATAACTATAAATAGGACAATTACAAGAAAACTTACAGGAACAATAGGTTGAAGAGGACCCTGCTCAATCGAGCTTACAGTCTATAGGAGGTGGGGAATAAGACACGTTAGGACGGAAATATCAGTCAAATAGGGTGGGAGTGAAGCACTGCCCTATAGGAGAGAGCAAGAGACAGGTATGTAAGGTAGAGATTACTCTGGGAGTCCATAAGTTTTCCTAAAGAGATGGGTTTTAAGGCTCTTATTAAAACCCATTGTTGTATTATTGCAGTTTATTGTACTAATGCAGCTTATTGTATTACTACATATTACCACATTATTACAGCTTATTGTATTAATACAGCTTATTGTGTTATTACAGCTTGTTGTATTAATACAGCGTATTATTTATTACAGCTTATTGTATTAATAAAGATTATTATATTATTACAGTTTATTGTATTAATACAGCTCATTGTAGTATTACAGCTTGTTGTATTATTGCAGTTTATTGTACTAATGCAGCTCATTGTATTATTACATATTACTACATTATTACAGCTCATTGTATTTATACAGCTCACTGTATTATTACAGCTTGTTGTATTAATACAGCTTATTATTTAATAAAGCTTGTTGAAGCATTCGTTGGGTGCAGTCCCTACAATATTTGTCAAACCATTTTCAAACTATGTCACCTATTGAACTAACTGCTTACCAAGAATGTAGAATAACGTGGTGGATGTTCTGTTGGTGGAAGAAGTGGGCCTGAGCTTTGGGCCCCAGGAGAGCGACAGTATTCCTCCAATTCCTTGTTGTAGATGCCAAGGGTTTTGGGTGAATTCCATCCAATTCTTGTTAAACTGATTCCAGCCATTTTAATAAAGGCTCGGAATCTCCTGCTGCCAATAGCAGGCCCCTCTGCTGCCCACCTTGCCCCATAAAAATTGTTATGACGAGTTGTGATTATGGTATGTAGAGTATCCCTTTAATTGTAGATTGTGTTTTATTTTCTTCCACTATAGGTATTTATTGATGCAGAGTTACGAAATTCTTATCAGTCAACAGAAACCCCTACTTACACGAACGTGGAAAATAAAAAGATAACAGAAACCCCTACTTACACGAACGTGGAGAATAAAAAGATAACAGAAACCCCTGCTGACACGAACGTGGAGAATCAAAAAAAACCTGAAACAACTGCTGACACGAACGTGGAAAATAAAAAGATAACAGGAACCCCTGCTGACACGAACGTGGAGAATCAAAAAAAAACTAATACCCAGTACTCCATAGATGGAAAAATTCCAATCCTCGATTGCTTGCTGTGTAAAGCACGATTCTGTTAATAGCGCAATGAAACTCTTCAAGTCAAATTAAAGAATGCATTCTGTGAATTCAGAGTCGGCTCTTTCATCAACTCTTCGCAGCCTATCATTAATTCACCATTTAAAATGAAATGACTTGTGAAGGTAAAGCATACGTTTCACGTATTAGAATACAGGTATAATATTCATTATATGTCCTTAAAATAAACATGACACATTTCCACCCAATGGCTTATCAGCCGCCAGTCATTCTCAAAGGATCATTCAGAACCCATGAAGCATTTCACCTGGCCGCCATGCACCATCTGTGAGGAGAATCCTGTCGTCATTGTCTTTTAGAACAGAATGCTTTCCTATGGACTGGCTGAATGAGCGCGCGGCTCTTGCCGCGCATGCACATTCAACTGATGACGGCGAAAAGGAGGAGAGTTCCCTGCGCAGAGGGAACCCGGCGGGGGATACCGGGTAAGAATTAACCCCTTGCACCCCCTAGAGCACGGCAGGAGGGGGCCCTGAAGGTGGGGGGTACCTAGAGACCCTATAGAGCCAGGAAAACGAGTATGTTTTCCTGGCACTATAGTGGTCCTTTTAGTAATAGCAACTGATTGACAGCTAGGGACGTTCCCTTATTTCTTGATTTAACTTCAGTGAGCTAACAGAACTGGCAAGCTTGCGCTGGTAGAGTGCGCCAAATGCTGCTTCCTCCAGTCATAGTCAGTCTGTGAGCACAGGACTCTTTATACCTCGCCACTGCTTGAGCAGCAATTTAATTTATATTAAAGAAAGTGACATAACAATCCACTACAGATTAACTCAAATAGCCTTCCAGGGAAAGCAGTGAAGACTAAAAGTGATATAGAAAGTGTAGTAGATACATGGAATAGCCTTCCAGTGGGAGCGGTAACTGTGATATAGAAAGGGTAGTAAATACCATGAATAGCCTTCACGTGGGAGCAGCAACAGTGATATAGAAAGGCTAGTAGATACCTGGAATAGCCTTCCAGCGGAAGCAGTAACAGTGACATAGAAAGGGTAGTAGATACCTGGAATAGCCTTCCAGTGGGAGCAGTAACAGTGATATAGAAAGGGTAGTAGATACCTGGAATAGCCTTCCAGTGGGAGCAGTAACAGTGATACAGAAAGGGTAGTAGATACCTGGAATATCCTTTCAGTGGGAGCAGTAACCATGATATAGAAAGGGTAGTAGATACCTGGAATATCCTTCCAGTGGGAGCAGTAACCGTGATATAGAAAGGGTAGTAGATACCTGGAATATCCTTTCAGTGGGAGCAGTAACAGTGATATAGAAAGGGTAGTAGATACCTGGAATAGCCTTCACTGGAGCAGTGAAGACTAATAGTTGTAACGATGCCTTACCTTTCCTCCTCGGTCCCGCGCAGCATGGCATCCTCTTCCGGTGAGCGGCACAGCCCTCGTGACGCCAGCCGCTCACACCACACATATTTTTATAATACGGCACATGCGCGCCATAGCCGGCAAGTAAATGCCGACGTATGTCACACGCGACCACGCCCCCGGACCTTCTGGGGGCGTAGTTTTAAAGCAAAATACCCCACACTATAAAAGGGCGTCCCTGTCACTTGAAAGGCGCCCTAGTGTGGTTCTTGTTAGTGCCTCTAGTGCTTATACTCTCCTTTAGTGTTGATTCCCTGGTTATTGGCTTTTGGCTTTCCCTTTTGACTACTCTGCTCTCTGGTTTCCCGTACTTTGGCTAGGTCTTATCGTTTATCCATCTTCTGTACTCCCTTGATCAATAGTGATATAGAAAGGGTAGTAGATACCTGGAATAGCCTTCCAGTGGGAGCGGTAACAGTGATATAGAAATGGTAGTAGATACCTGGAATAGCCTTCCAGTGGGAGCAGTGAAGGCTAACAGTGATATAGAAAGGGAAGGGTAGTAGATAACTGGAATAGACGTCCAGTGGGTGCAGTAAAGAAACTGAACATTGTTGGGATGTATCTATCATAAACAAAATAAATAAATAAATGAATATAATAAATAAATGAATAAAATAGAACAGTAAAAATCAGTTGGGGATTTTTTTATCTTTAACAGATAAATGAATCAGGTTTAATCTGTCAGCACAATGAATGGATTTTGTAACAAGACATGCTACTAAAATGAATGCTTTATTAGAGAATTGGATTTCTATCTAGTGAATCACCTTGGTAAAGCGTCATGGCGCAATAACACAATAAAGAATATTTTTAAATTAGGATTGGAAGGTGATGTAGACATGGGGCGGTTCTTGGAGGGAGGATGGTATATAATTATTGCAAATGATTGGGATACACAGTATTTACTGGGAGACTCCAGTGAATTATTTGGATTCAGATAATCCCTCTCCCACGTTACCATGAAGCAGCTGATAATAATAATGCTGATAATCTGCGCAGTCGCGGCAAAAATAAAGGATATGGAAAAGTCTAACGCAGAGCTATGTTGCTGTTATAACCGTTGCTGTACATGTCGCAATAAGGAAGACAAGGTACGCCATGTTACTAAGAAGGAAACATATATAGATTGTTATACTATAATATTTGGCAAGCAGCTTCAACCATTTTATTATTAATTCATTATTAATTAATTCTATTATAACAACAAAGTCAAATGTTTCAAACCAGTAAACCCCCAGGGAGTTTTCAAACAAAAATATTTGGTGCCTAAACTCACTGGTGCTGATATACAGAACTAATCTCAAAGTATTTAAAGGGTTATTTTAATCCTTTGCTGCAATTAGACTTTGAAGGCCTACAATGCCCTTTTGGGCTTTGCTATTAGGTCGCCCCTCTTGAAATGTAAAAAAAATAGTGTAATTAGTGTGATCAGCTCCCAGCGCAGATCACCCTCCTCCATCTGATGTCAGCCTTGCACAGTCCAATCACAGACTTCTCATAGAGGGAGGAGGAAGAGGGATTTTGTGAAAGAGGGAATTCTAATTAAACCTAAAATAAATAAAGTAACAGTATTTGCAGTGTTTCAAGCTGAATCCCTACACATTCAGCACCTACCACCACAACCACTTCAAATTGCTCATGGTGGTTGGAGAAACCCATTACATAGAATACACATTTTAGAGCTTAACAAAATTTGATTTGCTATTGATTCTGTTTGTATTTTCTCATGCATTTTGACAAGGATTTAGCAAAATTCCTTTTTATTATGATCTTTGACGTGCCATTTGTCACAAAGCCCTCCTTTTTTTATTTCGCTGTGTGTCAGATATAAGTATGTGACGATAAGTAGTTTTACTAGATAATAAATATATAAATTATTATCCATTCTTCAGTTGGTTTTACATAAAACTCTTCTCTCGCTGTAGGTAAAAACCAACGAGGATTTAGGATCTGGTGACGAAGCCAATCAAGAGTCTGCTGCTAATAATACGCTGAAAATTACTAGTCCTTTAAAAACTGCAGCCCTCGATGTGTTTGATTGCATGTTATATAGAATCCAGAATTGTGCCTGATACAATGTAACAACACTGTATTATTTATTGATCACATACGTGTACAAAGACAAACGGAGACAGGAATCAAACACTGATTATTTTCTTTTTATTCAATAAAATACATGCAATGTTTCCCCAAAACGTCTTTCCAATAACTAACACATTTAGAATTGTGAGCATTTGTATTTTCTGCCCGTTGTTTGCACCGGGCAATCGGCATAAACAAAACTTACAGAGTAGAGGAGAAACTAGCCAAATCCCTTCATTTACAATGTTTGCCTTGGCTGTGCTAAATCAAAATACATCTAAAATACAATGGAACAGCATATGAAACACAGGTTAACATGAGATATAGGTGATTTTCAATGATTCATTTATGCAGGGAGATTCACTAAGTGAGAATTCAAAGTGAATTTCAAAGTTAAGGCCAGAGTGGCCAAACTGAAAGCTGAGCTGATTTACAGAATGTTTCAATTTCAGCTATTTTTCACTTTAATTTGAAATTTACTTTGAATTTTCACTTTGATGTATTACCCTGACACGAAACTGAAAGTTTTCTTTAAAATCTATCTTCGTGGTAGTAAACAGTGATTTGTGATGACCTGGGGGGTCTTTGTACCATCGGCGATTTAGCACCTGCTTATACCTTTGCTGCATGACGGTCTATGCATTCATTGCACATTCACTGCATGACGGCATGGACCGTTATGTGCTCCTTAAGTGGTTACAGCATGCCCTGTTTAACTCATGTTATAGAAATGCAGATTTTACTTGAATCATTGAATTGACCAGGAGATTACCACAAATGACTTTCTCATAACTAAACTGAAGATAAATAACTTATTTTTCAGATGGGCCTAAATCCAAAATAAAACATTCCAATTCCGTTAGAAATATTTATTTATAAAATATTTTACCAGGAAAGATACATTGAGATTTCTCTCGTTTTCAAGTATGTCCTGGGTCCACAAATCATTGCATTGTTACAATAGGGTACAATAAAATACAAAAACAATATTAATACACAATAAATACAAAATGTTACATAGAACAGGTAGGAAATATATAATCAACCATGACAGGTGCATTCTGTTTTGAGGTATGTAGAGAGGGATCTCTTAAAGGACTTTAGGCTTAGGGAAGATTTTAAATTGTGCGTGAGGTCGTTCCACAATTGTGGTGCTCTGTAGGAGAAGGAGGATCGGGCCGCTTTCTTTTTGTATTGAGGTAGACTAAGTAAAGTGTTGGTACTGGATCGGAGCTTATAGGAAGTGGGAACAGCTGGGGAAAGCATTGTGTTCAGGTAGGGTGGGAGTTTCCCAGAAAAGCTCTTAAACACAAGGCTGGAAAGATGAAGGGTGCGTCTGGATTCCAGCGACAGCCAGTTTAGTTCTTTTAGCATGTCACAATGATGGGTCCTGTAATTACATTATAGCACAAATCGGCAGAACGAGTTATACAATGTATTGAGATTATTAATGTGGGATTGCGATGCAGACGCATATACTACATCCCCATAATCAATGATTGGCATCAGCATTCACTGTACAATCTTTTCCTTTACTGTAGGGCTTCGGCAGGATATGTTTCTGTACAGGGCACCTGGTTTTGGATAACGTTTAGATGCAAGTTTTTCTATGTGGAGGCCAAAAGATAGATTGGGGTCTAATATCATACCCAAGTATTTGAAAGAGTAAACTGCGGTCAGTGTGCTAGTTGAATTAGTTTTGATGGATAGGTGGGAATTGTGTAATTTGTATAATTTAGGTACAGTTCCAAAGATCATTGTGACAGTTTTGTCAGTGTTTAGGAAGAGTTTGTTTTTTGCGATCCACTTTTCTAATTCTGTAAACTGGTCTTGTAGCACAGCCTCGAGCTGTGGTAGATTGGATTTGCTCGCATAGATTACCGTGTCATCTGCGTACATGTGTACATTTGAGGATTTACAGACATTAAGCAGATCATTTATAAATAATGTAAATAGTAGGGGGCCGAGAATGGAACCTTGGGGAACACCACACGTGACTGGGAGAGGGAGGGAGTCGCTGTCAGAAATGGACACATATTGCGAGCGATCCAATACATACGATCGAAATCAGGTTAGCGGACAATCACCAATACCTGAGTTTTTGAGTTTTCGCATTAAATTGTCGTGGTCTACTGTGTCAAAGGCCAAATCAAGGAAAATAGCTCCAGTTAGGTCTCTTTGTTCCATGCCAGTTTGGATGTCATTGCAGTTGTAGTGGAGTTGTTGTGGAGTGATTCGGGAAAAACCACGATTGATCAGGGGTCAGATAGTTTATTGATAATACTCACATAGTTGTGTATGGACACATTTTTCTAAGCTTTTTGACAACACTGGGAGCAATACTATTGGGCGATAGTTAGAAACCAAAATAGTGTCACCACTTTTATGGATAGGCACTACTCTAGCAGTCTTCCAAAGTTTGGGTTTGTATCTAGACACCCAGGATTCGTTAATTAGAGTTGTGACAGGTTTAGCAATTGCTGGCGCACTGAGCTTCAACAGCATTGTTGGGATTTGATCAGGTCCAGACTGGTTTTTCATTTATAGATTATTAAGGTGTTTTTTAATGACACTAACAGGTACAGGTCTAAAAATGAACTTGTCTATATTGGGCCTTTGCAAATTTAGTGGGGCCTGATCCACATTTGTGTCATTTTGTGTCATTTATTAGCTTGGCAATCAGGGCAATAGAGCATCCGACAAAATAATTGTTAAAGGCATTTGCTACATCTAAGGGAAGTTGCAGGGTTTGGTTACCCACTTTGACAGTGGAGGGTTGGGAGTGGATTGGGGGAGTTTGTAGTTTATTTATGACTTACCAAAAGTTCCTAGTGTTTGATACGTTATTGTAATTCTTTCTAACATTTGTGTTTCTTTAAAGGACAATTGTCACCTCCATACTATTTTTAATATAATACCACTTTCATCAAGTTGTAAAAACAAATGGATTTTTTTTTTAAATGAAGAATATGTTAAAAAAAATGTGAAAAACATAACATATCT